ATTTGTCCCACCCCAGGTGAACCCTTTCTCTTTTTGTATTACTACTTGGTTCTCAATCAGGAAGTCTTCCACTGGTATAATCTTGCCCTTGAGTGTCACAGCATCACAGGACAACTGAGGCCTCAGCTGTGACCAGAGGCAAACTGGAGTTATGTTTCAGCATGCCATAGCTGGCCCACAGGCAAGAAGACTAGGCCTCCTACAGCCCTAATCATAATTTAATTATGAAATGATTTTTCCCCAAAATTATGTAGAACGGCTCCCAACAGGTTTTTTGTTTGTTTGTTTTAGATGAGGTCTTGCTCTGCAGCCCAGGCTGACCTTGAACTCACTATGTACCTCAGGCTGACCTCTTAACTCACGGTGATCCTCCTGCCTCAGCCTCCAGAGTCCTGGGATTACAGGCACACACCACCACCCCCAGCTTTAGGAGAGGAGTAAGAGAAATCATCCCAATGGGCAGGTATTAAAGTGATGACTCATTTTATGTGGAAAGGGTTCTTCGAAGTGAGAATACATGTGAGACTCGGGCAGTGGCAAATGGTCTGTCCAGCTAGTCACTGCTTTGGAAAGCAGAAGACTGGAGCCTGGGTATGAGGTTTGGAATAGAGGGGTATGGATGGCTGGGGAGAAAGCAGTGTGTGAAGATCTTTGCTGGCAGTGACCATGGTAAACTGCACTCACGGAAGTCAGTGAGAACCCAAGTGGACAAAATGAGTTGGCTCCCTGTGTCAGACTGTCACAAGTACATGGTGGCAGAGGTGGAGGCTGTGCAAAGGCCCGTCGTGTACTCCCACTATAATGACTGATTCAACTACTGCTGCCTGAATTTCCAATTCTCCATTGCCAGAGACCAATGAACACCAGATATTGCACTGCTATTTCTCTAGAAGACTAATTGGCCACGTGATAGCAAGTTGACAACACTGGGTTCCATTTATACTAGAGGAGCAGTAACTTGTTCTCAGGTGAACAGATTTGCCTTTTTTTTTTGAGACAGGGTTTCAGCATGTAGCCCAAGTTGGCCTCAAACTCAAGTGATCCTCCTGCGGGGATCACAAGCCCGGCCGAATTGGCTTCACCTTCAGTGGCAGTCTGCCTACTGCCTTGCGAACTCAATTAGCACCTGTTCTGACAGTGGCCTGTGGTACTTCTCAGTTCTCTGACCCACACTGAGAAGGTTCCTCTGGTAAACTGAATATTAGTTCCAAGCTGTCTTACAACTTCATAATCTTGAAAGTAAATAATTTGTTTGCTTATACAATCTAACACACGCAATAACCAGTACCTGTCTTCTATAAAGTTTTATTAGTCAAACCTGCAGGCTACTGTCATATGCAAAGCAAGAAAGAATGACAGCTCGGACTAAGATGGTAGTGGTGGTATAGGGAAGAGGAGAAGGTCACAATCAGAAATTATTTCTCCTGTATCCTAGCAACCAAAGTAAACTAGTTTAAAGTAAAAAGGGGCTACTTAGGCCTGGTGTGGTGGTGCACACTTTAATCCCAGCTACTCAGGAGGCTGAGGGAGGGCTTCTTGAGCCCAGGAGATTAAGGCCAGCATGGGCAATACAAGGAGACCCTATCTCAAAGAAATAAAAGAGGGAGCCACAAAGGACAAAGGGCATGGAAACTAAGGGCTGTAGCAAGCAGCTGTGTTTAAGGCAAGTTGTGGACCTGGGGCCTAGAAAGTCTCCCTGGGCTGGTCTCTGTTTATCTGCATTCTTCCCAGGGGGAAGACCCTAGGATGCTCCTAAGCTTTAGATCCACTCATTCAGGTGATGATTTGTGTTCCACATAGCACAGGCGGAAAGGTGACCCCTTTCCTGCTTATTATTAAAAAGTCCTAACACTGTATAACAAAGGGCAAAGTAACAACAAAAAAAGCAAATGGTTTTGATCATAGTTTTATGTGACACAAGAGCCTTCAAATTGAAGACACAAAGATCCACCCTGACCCAGGTGAACTCTCCGTTTTTATGCTTAGGTTCAATTAAGATACAAGCTAATGGAGATAGGCCGGGTGGGGGAACTAGTAAGGCCTGTCCAAATTCTTGCTTCCTAAATTGTAGCATTTCTTCCAGGCACAGCGGAAAAACCCCTCCGCAATCAAACTCTTCATTTCTTTGTGACCAACTCTTCTACACAAACACGGGGGAAAGTTGTAGTATTTTTAGGCTTTATGGCTGGCTTTGGGGAAAAGGGGTTCTGGTTTCCATAACCCACTGTGAGAAAGAAGAATCCTAATTTCTATGGCTTATTTCCAGAAAGAATGAGGGATTTGAGAGACCAAGGGTAAAAGAAGGTAGGAAAAACTGCTTTTAGTTGGGCGTGGTGACACACGCCCATAATCCCTGAACTCAGGACACTGAAGCAGACATATTTGAGGCCAGTCTGGCCAATACAGTGATTTCAAGGCCAGTTTGAACTACATAGCAAGACCCTACCCTCAAGAGGCAAAAAAAGAAAAAAAAAATTGCTTTTGAGGCCTTCACTTTGGGGTGTCAGTTTTCAAGCTCCAACAATACAGTCCCTGTAGGAATTTAGGACCTGTCTAGGATTGACTCTTTCTGGGTTTAGACTCAAGTGTGAAGGACAAAAAGGCAAAAGGAATCCTATTTTGTAGGCCACAAGGCTGGGTTTTTTTTCAGTTCTTTTACTGGTACATTTTAGGTATACAATTTGTTTATAGTCATTGGATGTTTGTACCTGTACACGATATATCTTGGTTCTTATTTTTTCCTCATTACCTGTGCGCCCTTCCCTATTTACATAGATTTCATTTCCTTTTTTTTTCTTTTCTCATAGTTTTTCCTTTCCTTCTTTTTCTTTCCCCTTCCCCTCCCTTCACTCCTTTGTCTTTGGACCTTTTTTCCTATTTCAAATTATCAATTATTCATTTTAATCATTTTAAACCCTTGTTTACACTTTCAGTTCTCACACTAGAGAAACTATTCAGTATTTACACGTGTGACCCATTTATTTCACTTAAGAGTATGGCCTCCATGTGCATCCATTTAGCTATAAATGACTCTAGTTTTTCGTTCTTTATGGCTGAGTAGTACTCCATTTTATAAAAAACCACATCTTCTTTATCCATTTTCCAGTTGATGGGTACTTGGGCTGTTTCTAAGCTTTAGCTATTACAAACTGTGCCGTTATGAACATGGGTGCACATATATCACTGTGGTATGATTCTTTTAATTCTTTTGGGAAGATAACCAGCAGGGGAATAGCTGGGTCAATTTTAGTATATGTGCTGCCAAAGTGAGCATGGAATAGCTGGGTAAAATAGGACCTCTAGTCCTAGTTCTTTGAGTTATCTCCATAGTGATTTCCACAGTGGTTGCACCAGTCTGCACTCCCACCAGCAATGGAGAAGGGTTCCTTTCTCCCCACAACCCCACCAGCATTTGTTATTTATTGATTTCTTGATAGCAGCCATTCTTTCTGGGGTGAGGTGGAATCTCAGGGTTCTTTTCATCTGCATCTCTCGAATGACCAGTGATGTTGAACATTTTTTCATATATTTGTTTGCTGCTTTTACTTCTTTGTCTGAGAAATGTCTGTTCATTTCAGATGCCCATTTTTGAATTGGGTCTTTGAATTTGGGGGGTCTGATTTTTTTCAGTTCTTTATATATTCTAGATAGTAGTCCTTCGTCTGAGGTACAGCTGCTAAAAAATTTTTCCCATATTGTAGGCTGTTAGCTCTGTTCGTGGTTTCTTTTGCAGTGCAGAAGCTTTTTAATAAGATGAGATCCCAGTTGTTGATTCTGCTGTTCCCATGCTGCTGAGGTTTTGTTCATAAAGTCTTTTCCTATGCCAATGTCTTCAAGGGTTCTACCTAATTTATCTTCCAGCAAGTTTAGTGTTTCTGTCTTGTTTTTTTTGTTTGTTTTTTTGGTACCAGGGATCGAACTCAGGTCCTTGCGCTTGCGAAGCAGGGGACGGAACCACTGAGCTAAATCCCTGGCCCAAAACCTTTTTATTTTTGAGGCAGGTTCTTGCTAAGTCACTAGATTGCTCAGGCTGGTCTCGAATTTGCGATCTTCCTCCCTCAACCTCCCAGTGTTGGGATTAAGGGGTGCACACCACGTTCCCAACGTTATTTTACAGGATTAAGAATCTGAGCAAGAGAAGCTGAGGAAGCAAGCCTCCAGCAACTCCTTTATCCCTTCAAGAAACAGACACGTGGACGCCGGTCTAGGCCAAAGGCGACTCCTCTAGGTCTGCCTCCTCACTACAGAGCAAGGACCTGTGCAGAGAGGACGCCGGTACATGAAGAAACCTGCACCACGACTGCCTCTACAGAGCATCCAGCAGTTGAGGGCCTCCGGAAATACAGGTGGGTGGAGCAGAAAGGGAACGGAACTGCTCTCTCTACTCGCAAAAGAGCGTGTACGGCGGCAGGCGAGGGAGGCCGGCCAACAGGGCGGTGGAGCACGTGAGCAGCGCGGTGACGCAGTGGGGCGGCCCGCACGGAGGCCCCGCCCAGCCTCGCCCCCCAGGCACCCTCGCACTCAGTGTTGACCCCCCGCCCCCGCCTGTTGTAGATCATGCCGTCAGTGGCGGCCCAGACCGCCGAGCAACAGTTGGCTGTCAAGTGACACTCGATTCTCCCAGCCCCGCCAGCCCCCCCCCCCGAGAAACAGGCACGTCCCCCACCGCGAGAGGGGGTAGGGAAGTGGGTAGTGAATTCGGATCCACTTGGGGGGGGGAGTGGAAGTTCCCGCCCAGGAGAGCGGCGAGGCGGCAGCCACAGGTAAGAGGCGGGTGGTGTGGGACGTACGCCCCCCCGGCCCTGGGCGCGGAGGGCTCTAGAGCGCGGCGCGGCCGGCAACTCCGAGCCGGTCACGCGCCGGGTGGGGGTCGCGCGGGCGGCCGCGGTGGGGGAGGGGCGCGCGGGCGCACGGCGGAAGGGGGAGGGGTCGTCGCCGTCCAGGCCGAGCGCGCTTCCGGTGCTCGCGCCGCCGCTGCGCGCCCTTCCTTTTCTGGCAGTCGTTCGTCCCGTTCTACGCGAAAGCGCAACGCAAACTTCCCGCTGCCAGTGGCTGAGGCCCAAGAGCCAAAAGCCGCCCCTTCGCGGTCGGAGGCGGAAGCTCGCGGCGCTGGGCCGGCAGCCGGGCTTGGCTGGACCCGCGAGCCCCCGAGGGCCTGGCCACCATGCCGCGCACAGGCCGGTGGGGAGGAGGCCGGCAGTGCCGGAGTCACCGACGCCCCGGGGGTGCCACGGAGGTGCGCGGGCTAGAAGCGGGGAAGGTGTCCTGCCTCCCGCTCGAACCGCGGGCCGATCCAGGATACTTTTTCCTCGATTTTGTAACACATCATGGAGTGAAGCCTGTTATTTTTCAAAGTCAGCTACGCTGTGGAGCTAGCGGGCAGCTTAGTCGCTTTAAAATTATTGCAGGTGTTAATGTCTAATTCTGTTAGCGTTTAAATAGCATTGGGACAGTAACCGTCTTTGAAAGCCCTTAACATTCTAAAGCCATTTCGGCGTTCATCCGGTGGATGGCCTCACCCATCGAGAAGAGCTGTATTTCGGCCCGCAAAATGCGTCTGAATCCTAGAATTTTGTTACCAAGAAATACGCGTTTTACTGATAGTGGTTTTTTTCCCCCATCGACTACAACGTACAGTTAGTTATCTCTGTCTCAATTAGAGCCCATTCTGTTGTCCTAAAGCCGAATGTAATAGCTCTACTAGTATTTGAGTCTTTTAGGCCTGAAGGCACACACCTTGTAATTCCAGCACTCGGGAGACTGAGGCAGAAAGATTGCAAGTTTGAGTCTCACCTGGGCGAATTAGTGAGACCGATTTCGAGGCCAGCCTGGGCTACATAGCGAGACCCTGTCTCCAAAGCAAAACATCCTCAAAACAAAAAAACAGTACAATATCTGTAGTTTGTCCTGTAGGGGCTGTTTGGGCTGTGTTGTGTCCCGTCAGTACTTCTGTGTCACCGGTAGGTGGTACCCTCTTAAAAAAAAAAACCACTGTTTTACGTAGTGTCGTAGTTACGAACTGTCATGTATGGTGTGATAGCTTTGCTTCAGTTGTCCCGTTTTTAAACCTGGTGTGAAGTAAATGGCTAATACTTCTTTAGCCATTGTTCTCTGTTTTAATACGTGGGCGTATTGAAGTAAACACGATGTATCTGGCATGAATAAATGTGAAGGTGTTGGTGCCATAGTGGGAGCAGAATGTGGTCTTTGACTCCCTAGTGGGGAGACAGAACCCCCCAGAAAGGCCATCACTGTACTGTGGTGAGTGCCGTGTGCGGAAGGGGCTCAGTCCGGGCTTCTGGACTACTGTGGCCAAGTCAGCAAAGTGCCTGGGAGAGTAACTCAGAAATAAGCCTCCTGAAGGAGAGGAGTGCTGGCAGCACAGGAAGAAGTGTGGAAAGGTGAGAGGAACAGGCCTGCTGGGGGATCTGAAAGTGTCAGTGTGATTTTTATTTTTTTTAAAATTTTTTATTTATTTTTTGGTACCGGGGATCGAACTCAGGTCCTTGCTCTTGGGAGGCAGGTGGCAGAACCACTGAGCTAAATCCCTGGCCCGGTTTTACATTTATTAAAGATAGGAAAAGAAATGGGTTCTGCAGAGTGAACTTGGGCCAAGTGAAAGTAAGGAAAAAATGTACATGACAGCATGAGAGTGGACTATTGTGAAAAAAAAACAGTAGTGAAGATTCAGTGGAATTAATAGCAAGTTTGAAGGGAGAGAGTGAATTCAGTTGTGGAAATGTTTGCTGAGCAAGGGGCTGACTCCCTTCTCTTGAGATTGTCAATAATTCAGCATCTTCTACAAGTGAGCAGACTTACGATCTTCCTTCTTTTGGCAATTTTTTTTTTTTTTTTTTTTTTGGTACCAGGGATTGAACTCGGGACCTTGGGCTTTCTAGGCAGGGGGTGGC